AAGGTCCCCCCCCCCCCCCCCGAAAACCCAGGTAGAAACAGTAAGAATAAATTGTCAATAAGTCATGGTAATGGAAGAGTCAAAAGTCTCAGTTTAGGGAAATGGAGCTAAGAGTAAGCAAGATGGCAACAGCTGAATTCCTCAAATGTTAAAGTGAAAAGAAATTAAGCCATTTAGATTAGTGAAGAAGAAAGTAGTTAATTAACACTGCACAGCCTTAATGTTTTCAGGTCATCTTAAATATTGCATCAAATTCTATTTAGTTGACAAAACCGCAAATAGACTTGATCCTGACAGTGTGTAGTAGTGTGATGGATTAAACTGTTGCCTCAGTCCTAGCAAGAACCGTTTTCCAATACATTGCTATTTACATGTACTTATCTATAGCCAAGAAAACTTTTAGTACAATTTCTTTATTTATACACACACAAATATACTGGAATTAATAAAAACTTCTGAAAATTCAGGACAAAGGCTAGCTGTCAGCCTCCTTGAAGTTTCTTTCAATCTAACAAGTGTCATCCCAGTCAAGTAGCCACATGTCCCCGTCTTTTGAGAAAAACAGGATGAAAATTAAGGTGATGAATAACACTTACATGCCAAAACAGAATCACTTCCATTTTAAGCTCCCTTCAAAACCACAATTACTCTCAAACTGCACAAGAACTAATGAATACTCAACTACTTTTTGGATTTGGATAGTAAGTTCTGTTTCACACTACATAGAGCAGAGCAGTGACTTTGCAAGGGTGAGAGGAAGGGGCCTGTTAGTGAGAAGACAACTGCTAAGACTGTTTTTCAGAATTTACTAGCTTTTACCTACGATCCTATCCCATGCTTTCCTCTATGAACCCCCACCCCCAGCATGCTTTAAAAAAAAAACCAAACAAAAAAACAAACACAAACCAAAACCAACAACCAAAAACCACATCAACACAAGTTTCAGCAGCAATTGCCTACTAGAAAAGAATTCCAAAACCAGACTTTTTAGTGAAACTGGCATTTGTACTTTAAAATGGGAGGCAGGAACTGTTAGCACAGGATTTCTTATGAGAACAGATAACATGACTATACTCAGTGATGCATTAAACAAATTTGATCCTAGTTCTTCAAAAAAGAAAACCTGAATAGAAAGTGGCATGGACGTAGAACATTACATCTAGGGTTCTGAAAGCAAGATTACTGGTGCAACAGTAAATGGATCCATAACCAGTTCTCTCCATCACTAAAAACCACTATGCAAATAGAGACATATTTGTCTGTGGTTAAAAACTTTTCTAAAATGCAGCTAGTAAAAAGCTACTCTGAACAACCCTCAAACACCTACTCCATAAACTTGTCCAAGTCCCACAGAATTATTCCACATTTAAAAGAGGGGAATCCTCACAGCTGCCATGATAAACATTATGCAGCTGAAATTCTAGTAACAATTGTGTCCTCAGTTAAAAGAGATAATTCTGACTGAAGTCACAATACCTAAGCATATCTTTTCTTACGAGCACAGAACTACTCTAAATGCTGGAGAGGCCTTAAATAGCTACATGGTTGGATCCTTCTCTGATAACCAGGGGAGACAGCTAACCTTTGAGAAACAGCTCCAGATGAGGAGGGAATTAATATACTTCAAACCAGGCAAATCATGCAAATTGTTACAAAGAAAAGCTTTTGCAGGGGAAAGAGGATGAAGGAAAGAACCACCATTCAAACAGAAAAAAAATAGTGACAAGTATAGTAGGGTTCCATCTAAATCTAAGAGTTTAAGATAGGAGGGGAGAGAGAAGGGGAGAAGCATCTCTATGTATTTACATAATCATGGCTCAGATAATTTGCATTGATGTAATGGAAGGCTAGGAGAAACCAAGTTACAGATAAGAAGGTACACTGAGAAATGCTAGATAACATTCCATATTCCTTGTTCTGAAAGTAATGGGACATAAATTAGCCATTAGTGAAAAAAATACTTCCTACAGCTAGTATCATCTTTCTCAAAGAAAAGGGATCAGTGTATTCCCCAAATAAATGCTGCACATCAGCCAACCCAGAGATATGTAGTAACTCCCAACCCCGGTTCTGTATTACCAGAAGTTGTTCCATGTTGCAACAACTCTTTTGCTTTAATTGTTTGAGAAATGCATTCCCCTACATCATTTATTGATCACTAGAGAGGAAAAAAAAATACAAGAAATGTAACTTTAAAGTCCTATAGTAATTCTTCCTTTATCCCCAAGACACTTCTTTAGGCTATCAACTTAAAATTGATTACATAAATCCTTAGATATGCATTAAAACAAAACACTTTTTTCATTCAGAAGTTTTGCTACAGGCTTTTGTTCAACTGACAAAATACACTAGGGAGTGTAAAAAATATTTATTCAACCTAATTTACTGTAACTATAATTTGCAATACTAAAAAACAAGCTTTACAACAGAGTAATGACCTTCTGCTACTCAGGTGAAATCATTTCATAATCCATACAGTATTCTTGTAATTTTATTTTTACAATAGCTTTAACTTCCAGAGGAGACAATGAGCTTTCCCATGGAACAAGTTTCAAACCCACTAGTTTGCATCATTCAATTCTTCATGAGACTTTAAAAAACAGTAATAAATTGGTTGGAAATCTGCACAGTGAAGACCACTGAAAAGCTGTTTTCTCAAAATGAGGAATTCTTAAGAAATACGTATTATATTGTTTCAAGACTATCTTACAGAAAGCAGCAACTTTCAGAGGTTGCTACTCTATATTTAGAGTTTTATATAAAAGTGAGCCCACTAAGACAAATATAATCAGCAGACTTACAAGATTATACTAATTCTTCAGTTACACCAAGAACCTCAAAAGTATTTGATATTGATTGAATGTATAATTTTCAATACCTGTATAGTTTTTGAATACTAGGTGGTTATTATATACACTTTTGTACAGTTCTAAAATATTACATCTCAGTAATGAAGATAAACATACTATAGAAAAGGTACCATATTTTGAATTTCTCTAACATATATTATTGTAGTCAAATATGAAGTCCATTCTGCAACTGCTTCATTTCTGGTGAAAAGAAATATTTACTTATGAATACTTCCACTAAAAGATTTTTTTAAACCTTTCTCCATGCCTATGACATACTAATATGTACAAGAAAAAAACAAAACAACTTTGAGAAAAACAAATAAATTGTTGTTAAGAAAAACCTTCAAGTACTAGATCTAGGTTAGGTCTAGTATGAATATTAAATGGCCGTATTACATTTGTCAAAAATTAACTTCACAAAACAGTCAGTTTCTGTTGAAATTAAGTTTATAAATACATCAAATAGCTGAAGTGCTAATGTCTTCCTCAGCTGGCTACTTCGAACATACTGTAACAGTAAAGCTTACTGTATAAATAAACTTAGTTTATTACACATTTAAGATTTATCCTTTAGTCCTTTACAGAATGGAGCCAAGTTGTCTTAAGAGTGTCTAGCCTGCTGGTACGTACGATGCTCAGATTAGGTACCCAAAGTGTAGTGTCACCCCCTTCCAGCCGATCCTTCCACTAGAATCCTTCCACTGTCTGACCTTCTGCTAGAGGTGGTAGGGGCAGAAGAGAGCCTAGTCCTAGTACAGAGCCAAGTTAGGCACCCAGGTCTGGAAATTTAGAAGGATGCCCTAATCTGTCAGTTTAAATTAGCTGTTTAATTTAGTGTTCAATGTTGTTTCCTCACACCTCTCCTGCTCTTTGTACTTGTATGGATATTTACATAATCAAAAGGAACATGAAAACTAAACAAGTGCTCTAATACTTAACTACAAAATAAGCAACTGAAGTTTACTTTGCCCCATGTAATTATTTTACTGTGGAGGAAAAAAAAAGCCATCCAGCACCAGTTACAAAACAGTAAGAGAGCCATGAGAAAATAACACTAGGGACTGCAGAAGATACAGGACAGTAAAAGTTATCAGTAATAAAATAGTCACCTGGAAGCCATGCTAATTTCAACACCTAATACTTAGGTGGCTAAAGCTGACACACAACTCCTGTAGAGGGTGATCTACCTTCTGCTTTCTCTGACCAGTCATTTGAGTATTTTACACTCCCTGTTTGATACCAGCAAAAACCAAGGAAATCTTTATTGACTGATGTCCTGCAATTACTTCTCCTTGGTGATGACTCACATTCCTTTCTAAAAAAAATTCCCTTCATTGTGTGAAATGCTGAACTAGATGATAGCGTGGGTATGAAAACACGTATAGAAAAGGCATTTGGATATAGCCTATGTTAACTACACAAGTTAGTGTTCTTGTTCTATAGTTGATGCGCTTTTTTTTTTTCCATTCAGCATATTGGCTCAAAGAAAATAATTCAGAAGCCTGTTGCCCAACAGAAATACCCCAAAATAATGAAAGCCAAGTCACATTCTTAGGTTCAGTGGTTGCTGAAAGGATTTACCCTGCCACAAGACAGCGCTTTATTAAAGAAAAAAAAAAATAGGAGCAGCAACTTATCACAATTCTCCACTACTGTGCAATAATGATGGAACCAATACAACATGGAAACCTGTTAGGTGAGACTGTACGACATCTGGAGATCACAGCCTTATGCTCCTTCTTGCTCAGGATAATTTAAAATTTTGCGATGAGCTTGGCGCAAATATTGCTGCTGTTTGAAGTAAACCTTAAAAGCTCCTTTTATAGCAACAAAAGCAATTCCACCCTGAAATAAAAAGATATTTTGAAAACCTGCACAGTTCAGTGTCATATCATTGCAAATGTTCTTTTTAAAAATTTCTGGTCAAAGAAGATTTATTTTCCAATCATACAGCATTTTCTTTTGAAGTTTAGCTGATTAGGACAATTCCAACTGAGTATCTCAAAGTTTTCTGTCACAATGCACAATTACAGAGGTTAGTGTTACTTAAAGGGATTACATACTGGATCTATAAAACCTTTCAAAAGCTTTATTTGCTTGGAAGTCTGACAAATTTTCTAAAAAAAAAAAATCAAAACACATCCTATTTAAAGAACAAAGTAAAATGCAGATACGTATCTGCTTTCCTCCCTTCTCTGAATATATACTATACATGACACAAGGGAGTAATACTAATTACCATTCTATAATCACTGTGAAAAGGCCACTTGCCAAAAGCAAGTGTGGAGTGAAATAAAAATCTGTTTTTTGTAAAACAAACCTTTTTCCCCAAAAAGTTTTATAGTATGTTTTCTCAAGTCTTCAAAATAAAGAGAGACACTAAGCCACCTTTAGTCTGCATGAACAGTTGTAATATCACTGTTTCTTCCATATGGAAGAGGGGCACATTAACATGTTGGAACTGAAAACGGGCTGAAGTGGCAGTCAGATGACTAGGGATACCAGCTTACCAAACTCAGCGTGCTTCCCCTTGAAAGGCTGCAAGCCAGAGAGGTTATTCACAAAGGAAGAGATTGTCTCCTCTCTTTGTCCTCCCCCCTCCATTCAACTTCTTTGGAGGGTTTATTTTTCTCTCCTTATTTTAATAAGTAACAAAGGGATTCTCCCAAAGAATTAGTAAACAGAAGTTAATATGAAAAGGTTGATAATATAAGCCTCAGTCTTCCCATGCAGAGATTGTTCTTAGAAGATGCTGGTTCCTTATCTTCATTATTGCCCTTAATTACTGCTAAGATCTGCCTAGTACAGTACCAGATACAAGTTTCAGCCTTGTCTAGAATTGAGATTAGCTTCAGTCACAAGGACAAAGTCTCTCACACATGTGATGCTTGTCTACTGCCAAGATAGGCAACCTTAAAAAAAACCCTTTCCCTTAATCAAATGCGACTCTTAAGTTCCAGATCAATGTATGTACCTTTTTTACTTTTCCTCCCTCCCCCCACAACACTTCATATTGCCATATTATAATTGTTCATGAAAAACAATACTGAATCTTACCAAGATTGTCCTTTGTAAATTTGAGTTAACACTGCTGAACATCAGCTTGCCAACTATCGTGGCAATAGTAGGGAAAACTAGAGCTCCACATAGAATACGTGTAGCAGAGACATGATCTGCCAAAGGGTTGGCCTCTGCTGGAATACGAGGAACAGGACATCCAATGCCTAAAGGGGTGAGAGTGGGGGAAGAAAAGGTTATATAGCCACTACCTCAGACAGAACACAGAAGGCACATTAGTGCCCACCCCCCACTCCATTATAAATCTATAGCCCAATTACTTTGAGAACTATCCCTCTTTTCAGTGAATATTGTTTCCGTTAAATGACTGTATTAATTTCTACTTTCAAATGAGACCCATGGTTTTTAGTAGCTTGTTTTGTTACTAAGGCTTTAATTGAAACCATGCTCCTGCTTCTCTTGCCCCACCTTTCTCTCTAGGTACTATACAAACAGTCTGAATAGACGAACATAAAATAGCGGGAAGGTGTTACCACTTTAACTTAAGAATGGCAAAAACTACTTGCCTATCCCCACCTCCTAAAGGCACCAATTCAAGCCTGATATTTCCTTTTAAATTTAATCACATTACCTGGAAATATGCTGTTCAAAATTTGTAGCTTATTAGAGTATTTGCGCCACAGTCTGAGCACATAGTCCTCCCAACGAATCATCTTGCCCAATATTAGCATGACTGGGATAGTGGGAAGTCCAATCAAAAGAAATAAAGGATCAGCTCTCTCCATGACATCAAGACCTTCTTTGTGACCCACAACCTGGTAAATATGTATATAGTTGACAAATATAACAAAGACCACAACTGAACAAATACAACTTACAAAAACTCTAGTTTGTTTGGGGCTGCCCATGCATTTTAAGTTAAAGAAAAAAGAATAATACTGTTTTACCTAACGTACTCAGTTTTCCCTTTGCATCCTTGATTGCTTATCAAGTGTAATGCAGACGACCTACCAGCCCTAATTTGCAAGTCATTAATCTTGCAGAGAGCTGTAACAGTTCCTTACCATCAAGAAAAATTTCATGTGCTTCTGTATGAGTAAAAGCTTAAACATCTGAAATATCAAAATAGCATGCTTTCCAAAACACACAGAAGAATTTACAATTTTAGAATGATTAATTCTACACTCAGAAATTGATTAGATACTAGTCTTTAAAGGATAAATTGATAGCAAGTATCTCAGGATGTTTTAAGCAAAAATTTCTGTTACTTAGGAATACCTTATGCAACAGAGATCACAGTATTAAAAAGTATTGCTTCTCTAGACAATGCAGGAAGAGGTACATTATTTTCAACTGTAGTGGAAATAGCAGCATATCTTCACTTGTACTTTATTTTTAAATGTGGTTAGTGCTATGATTTTAAAGGATAGTCATTACCAATGTGTCTAAACCTTTCTACTGGCACATAAAAAAATAATCAGACTTTGCAGTTTATAAGATACAGGTATTAAAACTGTAACAGAACAGTGCATTATGTCTTCCTAAAAAGTACATACTGTTTATTTAAAATAAGTAACTCTAATAGGGCTGAGGACAAAAAAAGAAATTGAAGTGGTAGATATCCTCTAGAGTTGTCTCAATTTAAGAATTACTAAATGCTAACAAAGTCCTTGAAGGGCTTCTAGAAAGAATAGGCTCTTTCATTACTTTTTCCATAAGAATCCAGAAAGACTGAAAATACTAAATAGTGTGCTGGTTTTGGCTGGGATATAGTTAGTTTTCTTCACAGTAGCTGGTATGGGGCTGTGTTTTCGATTTGTGCTGGAAACACTGTTGATAACACAGGGATGTTTTCGTTATTGCTGAGCAGTGCTGACACAGAGTCAAGGCCTTTTCTGCTTCTCATACCACCCCACCAGTGAGGGGGCTGGGGGTGCACAAGAAGTTGGGAGGGGACACAGCTGGGACAGCTGACCCCAACTGACCAAAGGGATATTCCATGCCACATGATGTCATGCTCAGCATATAAAGCTGGGGGAAGAAGGAGGAAGGGGGGGGACGTTCAGAGTGATGGCGTTTGTCTTCCCAAGTAACTGTTACGTGTGATGGAGCCCTGCTTTCCTGGAGATGGCTGAACACCTGCCTGCCGATGGGAAGGAGTGAATGAATTCCTTGTTCCTCACTTTTACTCTTCTGATTCTCTCCCCCATCCCCCTGCGGAGTGAGCGAGTGTGTGGTGCTTAGTTGCCAGCTGGGGTTAAACCACAACAAACAGTAATTATTACATTTGTCAGGCACTGGATTTCCTGATGTGTTTTCATTGACTTCTTGTTCTCCCCACAAATGCAAAAAGCTATCAAGTCTTCACTTGCACAATACTTAGAATTAGATGGTAAGAACATGCAACAATAGTAAAATGGAATAGGTGGGACACAGGGAAGAAGCTAGGGTAAAGCACCACGGTACCTTCAAACTGTACTTTTTAGCCTTGCTTTGAAAACCATTCCATTTTATTCTTCTAGAACAGGAAGTTATGTTATACACCACATCCTCTAAAAATAGGGATAACCAATATTGTTGCCACCAAAAAGTTATTCCTTCAAAAAAATATTCAGCATTTGTCTTCCAGCTTCTTCACTATCTTCCACCCAAATTGTGATGTCTGACACTATCCTTTTTCTCCTTATAGTCCTTGTCCATCAAAAAAAACCTCAGTATCTTGTCTTTTCTGCTTTAGATTACTTTTTCTGTTTTCAGTAACCCCATATGACTTGTTACTGACTTAGCTATCACTATAGTCATAATGTCAATTCTGTATTTATTTTTCTCCATGTGAAGCTTAACCTTTAAAAATAGCTTTTGTGCTTCTCTCTGGCCCTTCAACTGAAAGAAAGAGTCTGAAATGCATCAGGAAACAAGTGGTATTAAACCTAGCAAATTTGGGGTGGCAAAAGGGGTGGAAGTTTCCCTCCACTCCCAGTTTAATTTCCTCCATTATAAGCAAAAATAAGTTATTCTCTTACCTAGCGTGCCATCCATATGATCAAAACCACCATTAAGTCAGAGGAAAATAGCTAATTCTTCATACCTGGGATTTGACCAGCTGTCTTAACTAATGTAGATGTGAAGCTGTAACCATGCAGTTGCTCAGCTAGACCCACCACTTCCCTTTGCTTAAGGCCAGATCCCCATTTCAAAAGCAGAACAACTACAGAAAGGAGCATTTATCTTTCCATTTGGTTATGTAGTTCTAGATAAGCTAAAAAGGTCATATAAGTTCCTATAGAAAAAGGCTCAGTGTAGCAGTGAGCAAGGAGATACGGACTGGTACATTTCACGAAGTCTAGTTGTAGTATTACAGCTGGTTGCAGTGTTCTGTAAGGGCCACAACAAGAACAAAATATCAGATGAGGAAATTCCTAAGTGTACCACTCTAATATAGAGACTCATCCACTGGAATGGAGGAAGCATTGAAAATCATTATACATCACTTATGCAGCCGCTTGACCCTGGCCACACTGGTACCAGGGAGACTGCATGAACTCATTTGAGCTCCACTTCAAGTGGTTGTCATATACATTTCTGCTATGAGATCACGTACAAACAGAACTAAAATAGCACACAATCTTGAGATGGAGTGACTTGTAGAACTGCAGGGCAGTACCACACAATTCAAGAAAAAGTAGTGCCATATGACTTACATGGATAAGGCTGCACAGGTTGTATATTTAAAATTAGAACTGTGTAGAGGAATACTTATTAGCATACAGATTTGTTAATTCTAGCTATAACTGAATTAGCATCAGAAATACTTTTATGCTTTCAAGCAAGACACAGGTTATGGGCTTGATATAAGAAAATCAACAACTAAAATGGTAACAAAGGTCCTTCTAGTTGTACAATCTATGAGAATTCTTGTCTTGTAGTCAAACTAGGACAGCCATGAATGAGTCCTTCCATAGTTAAGTCTACCACCTGTCAACGTTATTTTTATATTTAAATAGCAAGTTCACAAGAACAGAAGTAGGAAAAATATGGGGTTTTTTTCCCCCTTTCAACTAACTATACAGTCTGAAATAACTAAAAGAACATACTATTAATTTGCAGGGTTTTGCACTTGTTTATGAATTAATTGCATGATTCAGAGCATGCATTTTCCTTTATACAATAGAAAGTGGTAGGACTGAAAAATTCACCGTATCTCAACCCTTTGAATGTTACCAGCAAAATTTTTCTACAGGTAAAAGAGATTAGTCTCATGTCTTTTCTGAAGAATTAGACTACCCATTATTAGTAGTTAGGTGGTAATGGCACCTTTTCTGTAAGAACAGAAGTGGGTTCACCAGCCTGCCATACAAAGGGCAGCCAGCTGCAGTAGTAGTGAATTTTGTTAGTTGCAGACTGAACCACTTGGCTTTATACAGTACGATCAGTCAGAAGTGAAAAGCTTTCTATCCACCCATCTTGAATTCATTTGTTAACTACACTGAAAGTGCTGAAAGCAGCTAAAGCATGTTTTAAGCCAAGGAAAGAAGCGTCTTAATTAATTAAGTTTTTCTTTAGAAAACTTGCTTCAAAGCTGGTAAGATGAGGGAATACATGTGTACCTGCATCACTGTCACAGCTCCATATGTAACAGCCGTCCAGTATATAGAGCCCACCATTATTCCAGCTGCAGCAAATGGACATGCCTTTGAGATCAGTCGATCTGCAAGATCCAAAACGTAAACAACTGGACCTATAAAGGAAAAGCAAGGTTTCAAGATATATATATATACACACACACATATATATGTGCGCATACTGAAGAAAGCTCTCAGCATCTATCACTGATAAGAAAGAATGAACTTGGCAAAATACAAGTCTGACATCCCACACATGCTGTTTAAATGAGAACATATAATTAAAAAGCTACTAAGCTAAACTTGTAACTTATTTCTACCTACCATTTCAGTCACCGCAACATCTTTCTGAAAGATTAATATACTGATTAGAGCACTGACTGATTTACCCATTAAAGTTGACTAGCTTCCTTTGTGTTGAATCAGAATTGTTCTGTTGTAGAAAACGTATTAGGCTTAGTGGCTTTTTTGTTAGATATTTTAGTTTTCAAAAGGAAGAAATACTAATTAGTTGTAATGTACTTCACGTGCTTATCTTTGACAGTTTCACTTGAGAATTCTGTCACTAAACTATCCTGCTCTACAGTAGAAAGCAGCACAGTCAATATGAAAGATTCCTTCCGCTGGAAGAGGCTGCATTCAATATTTTTAGACGACCACCTCTCAAATGTTGGAGGGAAAAAACCTCCTGTTCAGGTTATTTAGTGCCTTTGACAACAATGCAAGAATAGAGTTTCATTGTTCTGTCTATGGACAACTGCACTTTCTAGACTTACACAGAGCAAGACATTGCCCTGACCAACTTTGGTGAGGTAAACAAGGGCATGCTTGCATATTCTCTTTGAGAGACTGCAAGAGCACCAGCAAAGCAAAAGCCAGAAGTTGAAGTCTGAAATGTATGTATGGAAGTGAAAAATGTCATCACCATGATCAGATTCCACACTACTTTTGTATTTGTCAACTAATTCTACATAAAGACTGTCCTCCTCCAGCTCATATGCATGAATAGTTCTTAGCTCCCTTCTACTTTTTCCTATCAAAATCAGTGAAAATTAAAGTTATTCTCAAAACCAGCCTACAGGCATTCAAGTAACTAATCCTCCATGTCTCTCATCACAGTTTACCCACTCTGGCCTGTAATTCTTTTACTACTTCCTAATCTTTTATCTTTTTTTTT